GGTATCAGATTTTATTTAGGTTGAATGTATTAACTTAGCTGTTAGAGATCTTACAACCACTGACTTGTTTAGGCTGTAGGTTATTTAAACTTTCAATCATAGCTAGCGTTAGCTGCAATGTACGTTATTTTGCCCGCTAATATTTCTTGCACGATATAACAACGGTGTTCAAAGCGGTTTATTTAATCCCTCATATCACAATAATAATATCAAAGTAAACTGGGCAAGTAATGGGCAAAATTTACCGTTGAGTTTGACGCCGCCCACATGTCCAGCGGACTGGTAGCGACACAACCGTTGGCCCCCTGCCTGGTTCAAAGCCTCGTCGTTCTGATAGCTCCGTCCCTGTCGCTCCAAACCCCTCCCTCCAACCACATCTAAGCTGAATCTACAGGTGAAAATTAATTTTTGCGACACAATTTATCGCAAGATAGTGTAGCAATAAGTCAATTGACCCTTTCGCAGATTCGTCGATTTATACATGCCACAGAGCCAGATTCGTCAAAGTTGTAATGACTGATTAAGAGGTTGTAATAACCAAGTTTGCAGTTGTGAATGGAAAAATATATTTTAAAAATATGTATTTCTGCAAGTGAACATTTCATCACTAAGTTCATATTTTTTTCTACAAGCTACAAACTTTTTTTTTTCTTCTGTGACTCCAAATTTGGTTCACAGTTACGTGGAATATTTTATACAAGTGTAAATGGTAATGCTGAGATTTTGCTGCTACTTGGAGCCCTGTGATCATTTATGGGGGACTCCTAATCTGAGGTGCTTTAATTTGCGGTTTCCTGAGGCTGGTAACTCTGATGTATTGATCTCTGCAGCAGAGATGTCTCTGCTCAACCTCTCCTGGGGGGGCCGGGGGGGGGGGGGTACTCATGAGAGCCATATTCATCATAGTGTTGATGGTTTTTGCACTGCACTTGAGAATCAAAGTACTTGAAATGTGCGGATCGAATGACCTTCCGTTCTTAAAGTAATGATGGACGGTCGTTTCTCTTCACTGAGTTGAGTCGTTCTTGCCATAATATGGATTAGAGAGCCATATTCATCATAAGTGTTCGATGGTTTTGCAACTGCACTTGAGATTCAAAGTACTTGAAATGTGGCCGGATCGAATGACCTTTGTTTCTTTAAAGTAATGGATGGACGGTCGTTTCTCTTCACTGAGTTGAGTGTTCTTGCCATATTATGGATTACACAGTAGTCAAATAAGCCTTTCCACTGTGCAACAACCCTACCTCTGCCGTTAACACAACTGATGGTCGTCTAAGACACATTCAAAGGCAAGTAATTCGCATATTGACTCTTGACAAGGCACAAGTGTTAATAGAAACCCATTCCAGGTGACGATCTCATTGAATCTGACTGAGAGAAGCCAGGAGTGTGCAAAGCTGTCATCAAAGGCAAAAGAGGGGGCTACTCTGAAGAATCTAAAATAAAATCATCATTACTCTAGGATTTTTCAACACTGTTTTTGTTAAAGGTCACATGTCATGGCCATTTCCACCTCTGATCATAATTTCCATTGTTGAGGCATACTGGTAAATAGAAAAATACGTATGCAATTTTTTCCGACTCACATTGGTTTAGCATACAGCATCTCTGTAAAGTATGTGTAGTTCAGCAGTATTCACACTTTCTTCCACTAAACGGCTCGCTGCTGCAGCTCGCCCCACCCCGCCCCCTCCGTGATTCCGTTTTTTGTTGTTTAAGCGATACACAGCCCAAACAGCAGACAACTCGTCAACCTGAACACACACAGAGTCAGCAGCCGAAATAAAAACAGTAAGTGGTGGCTTGGAGTATTGAGTAAGAAGAAAGGTTTAGTAGGTTGATAAACGCCGTGAAAATAGGTCTGCAGAGAGAATTTGCGGCGCGAATCCCAACTGTCTGTTATCAGCCTGCAGCAAGGAGCGAGAAATCAATAGGGGCTTGCGCTGCACTGAGTGTGGTGTGTGGATTGGTCAAGTTGGACCAATCAGCAGCGGGGCGGCGTTTAAGGTAAACGCTCCGCGGACGTAAGTAACTCACACGAAGTTGGACCATTTAGTTCCGGGTACATGCTCTTCGATAAGCAAGTACCTGCAAGAACTCAAATGGACTGAATGAACTCACATGATGACGTTTTCACACAGAGGCGTTTTGTGGAGTTTTTGTTGTTTTAGAGTTGGCGTTTTGGCTCTGCGCACCGTCGTTATTGTATGTCAACAGAAAAACTTCATCAACACACAACGATGAGCGGGTAGTAACTGAACGGAAAGCATGAAAAGTGGACTTTAACTAAATAATCTCATATGATGTCTTTCGTAGTTGTGATGTCTTCAGTATTAATCTACAAAGTACAACACATTTAAAATAAATAAAAACTTTAAATTTGAAGGTGTGTCCAAGCTTTTGATCAGGTAGTGTATGCATTTTATTGTTGTATTTCAAAGCAAATACGTCCCTTTCGATAATGATTGTTACCAATACAGAATGATGAGAAAAGGCTCAAAAGTTTTCAGGCAATCTTTAGGTATTTATTTCAAGTAAATCATGAACCATAAAACCAAATTCATCCTTGACATGGTTTGCAGAAAACACATACTGTACACTTTACTGTTTCACCTTGTCCCTTACACAAATCAATCGCTGGAACAAAGTCACTCATCAATCAATCAATCAATCATCCATTCAATCAATCATCAAAGTTAATTTATATAGCCCAAAATCACACATTTTTGAGAAATTTTGTCTCGGCCCCGTTCCAATTGTAAAGTGTTCTTGGGTTGTCCTAGGCGCTATGAATCAAAGTTATTATTATTACTGTTTTGAGGAGTGGGTTGAAGTTCAGATCTACTCAGTCTGACAGTTGTTGTTTTTTTTTGCAATATAGTGATGCGGGACAAAACCCGGAGCAAACCCGGAGAAAACCCGTACGCAAGTTACAACTTACAGGAAAATAGTTGGAAGGTCATTTCCATCCTCATGTGACTGGTGGGCTTGTAAATTGTCTTCAAGACTCACATTGATCCTTTCCCCTCGGGGGAAGTGTCCCAATGTTTCCTCTGAAACCATTGCATCCTCTGAAACAGTTCTGGTTTTTCTCAGGTACTTTTCATCTAACCATGAGTCCACCCTCTTTGGTGTTATGTCTGTTGCCTTTTCAAGATTTTTTTCCGTGAGTCTGAGTTTTGCTTTTAGCGCCAAGACCTCGTGTGTTGTCTCGTTGATGATGTTGATTTTTTCTACACACAAGTCAATCTTTCTTTGATTAAAACAGTTAACTTCGTCCCTGGTGCGTTCCACTAGCTTGGCATCGGCTGTGTGAACCCTTGCCAAACCTTTAACTTGATTCATCAAGCCGTCAACCATATGACGATACCCTGTCCTCGTGTTTTCTTCCATTGGCACTCTGTCATCGCCATCTACGTGCTGTGCTTTGAGATGAGCAACACTGATAATAAGCTTCTTGGGGTCAGTGATATCAGCCACTGCTTGTATATCTTCCTTACAGCGCATGATGTAGGTCTCCATGTCTTGGGCTTTTACGCGCCCTTTGATCATGAGTGGCTGACAGCCCCTGAGTTTAGATTGTAGATCTGCGACCCTTCCTTTCAGGACCTTGTTTTCATTCAAGTTCTGGCTCAGCCTTGCCTTTTTCTTCATGTGTTCAGTCTCGGAGATTCTGAAATTTTGGTCCAAACTCTTGGATTTCTCCTTCTCTTTTTCTAATTTAAGATTTGTAATAAGGTTGCGGTCCTTTTCTTTTGCCAAATCGTCTACCAATGCTTTTTCATCCTTCTTTAAATTGAGTATTTCCGTATTTTTTCTTTTAATAATCATCTTGTGATCCTCGCATTGTTTATGTGACTTAGCCAAATCATTAGTTAAATCCGGCAGCCCACGTAGTCTCAGCACTTCGTTCCTCAGTCTTTCAACTAGGTCCTCTTGGCGTTTCTTGACCAAAAGATTTTCCACATTTGCATCTAATCTTTTATGAAAAATACCGGTCTTGATTTCAGCTGCCATTCTATCTTTTAAGTTCACCAGCTCTTTTTCCTTCTGAATTACTTTATTTTTCTCCTTTAACACATCGGCTTTACATTCTTGCAGCTTCTCTTGCAATATTTTATCTTGTTTTTCATTCTTCTCTCCCAAAATACTGCTTATTTGCCTCTCATGCGTTGCCAGCAAACTCCTCTCATTTTCTTCAAACTCTGCTGAGCTTCTCCGTATGAGAGACTCATACTTTGCAATGAGTTCTTTTTTATGTTCCTCAAATTGGGTGTCTTTGGTGACAATTGATTGCTGCAGCTTTTTGATTTTTGCCTCTGCCTCTGCGTCTCCATCTTTTTTGTTCCAAGATTTTTTCTCGTCAAGAAGTTCCTCAATATACCCTAGTTTCTCTTTTAATACATCCTTCTCTTTTTCAATAGTTGCCTTTAGAATCTTGTTTTCAGACTGCAGAGACTCTATTTTGAGGCTTTGTGAGAACAGTTCTTCAGCAAACAGCTTCTGCTTATATTTTACTGCATCTTCTTTCGCCTGGAGCTGGAATTTGCTATCATACTCAATTGTCTCCATTTTGAGAAATGTGTCTAAATTAAACAATTGAGTTTCAGCAGCAAAGGGTTCACCTTGAAATATAAAGCTGCCTTTAGTTGTTTTGTGTGTGCAACCTCCAGTTGCTGTTGTTCCTGGAGTTGGAATTTGTTCAACTTTTAGCCCAATGTTTAAATTAAATGTAAACTGTTAAAGTTTGTTTACTTTTCTTACTTGTTGTTTTTTCAAAAGCTACAGTCTCTCTGAACAAACTAAGTCTTACCAAGCCACCTGGGGAGTACTTCGAAATCAGATGTGTGGGCCTCTTGCAGGGAAGATGAAATGCTCATTACGTCATAAAACTTTAAGGCATAAATCGATGACGTCTTGCCCTTCCAATGAAGTCAGGGATGACGTAATGACGTTAGGTGTTATACTTCGGTGGCCGAACATTAACAACGTTCTAAGAAACACTGATACGTTGGTTAAAGGTTGTTTAATAATAACCAGTGCTTGAATTGGGCCGGTACTCACCGGTACGCAGTACCGGCACTTCTGATTTTTACCCATGTGGTGCCGGTACTCAGTCAAATGCCGGTGTTGCAGTATAAGTTGAGTCATGACAACTGGCGACATTCTATTATTTTCGTCATAGGAATCCGGGGCGGGTACATTGAGGACCCATTGTTGACTTACCAGGAAAGAAACATCGTTTGTCGTTTACGTTCATCTTTTGCTATATCTGCCTTCCTAAGATCACTTTGCTGCACATTCAGTACTCGTATGTGAGGTTGTGGGTGAGAGGCCGATATCGTGACGCTTACAGGGAGGTATCGAACATTACAAAGTAGGTGACTGTGGATGCCTGTTCAAAACATTGCACATTTCAATAAATCATTTCAATTATATATTTGTGTCCGACTTTCATTTGTTCATCGTTCTTAATGTGATGTATAGTAGCTTTGATAGCTGTCCATACCTTCAGACAGCCTAAAAGTAAAACACAAGTTGTTTATTCACAGCCCGAACGCTCATCGAGATGACTGGATCAGTCATGACAACTTGTGATCAGCTCCGATTAATTGTGATATCCAATTCTGTAGCTAACCTCCAGGAGCACGTTTATTTTATGAAATACCTGTATCCCCTCTCATCACAACAAGACTCTACACTGTGCACGGAAAAAACAATTTACATACATGAAAATAACCTGATGCATGGGAATTAAACACACAAACTATCTTCCGTGGGCTATACTGATATGTCACAGTAACGGAAACCACAGAAAAG